ACAGTAAACCCATCTTCACATTTTATAATACGTATGTATTATTTGAATCTTTACATTTTTTATTTAAAATTTTTTACAGTAAACCCATCTTCACATTTTATAATACGTATGTATTATTTGAATCTTTACATTTTTTATTTAAAATTTTTCACAGTAAACCCATCTTCACATTTTATAATACGTATGTATTATTTGAATCTTTACATTTTTTATTTAAAATTTTTCACAGTAAACCCATCTTCACATTTTATAATACGTATGTATTATTTGAATCTTTACATTTTTTATTTAAAATTTTTCACAGTAAACCCATCTTCACATTTTATAATACGTATGTATTATTTGAATCTTTACATTTTTTATTTAAAATTTTTCACAGTAAACCCATCTTCACATTTTATAATACGTATGTATTATTTGAATCTTTACATTTTTTATTTAAAATTTTTCACAGTAAACCCATCTTCACATTTTATAATACGTATGTATTATTTGAATCTTTACATTTTTTATTTAAAATTTTTCACAGTAAACCCATCTTCACATTTTATAATACGTATGTATTATTTGAATCTTTACATTTTTTATTTAAAATTTTTCACAGTAAACCCATCTTCACATTTTATAATACGTATGTATTATTTGAATCTTTACATTTTTTATTTAAAATTTTTCACAGTAAACCCATCTTCACATTTTATAATACGTATGTATTATTTGAATCTTTACATTTTTTATTTAAAATTTTTCACAGTAAACCCATCTTCACATTTTATAATACGTATGTATTATTTGAATCTTTACATTTTTTATTTAAAATTTTTCACAGTAAACCCATCTTCACATTTTATAATACGTATGTATTATTTGAATCTTTACATTTTTTATTTAAAATTTTTCACAGTAAACCCATCTTCACATTTTATAATACGTATGTATTATTTGAATCTTTACATTTTTTATTTAAAATTTTTCACAGTAAACCCATCTTCACATTTTATAATACGTATGTATTATTTGAATCTTTACATTTTTTATTTAAAATTTTTCACAGTAAACCCATCTTCACATTTTATAATACGTATGTATTATTTGAATCTTTACATTTTTTATTTAAAATTTTTCACAGTAAACCCATCTTCACATTTTATAATACGTATGTATTATTTGAATCTTTACATTTTTTATTTAAAATTTTTCACAGTAAACCCATCTTCACATTTTATAATACGTATGTATTATTTGAATCTTTACATTTTTTATTTAAAATTTTTCACAGTAAACCCATCTTCACATTTTATAATACGTATGTATTATTTGAATCTTTACATTTTTTATTTAAAATTTTTCACAGTAAACCCATCTTCACATTTTATAATACGTATGTATTATTTGAATCTTTACATTTTTTATTTAAAATTTTTCACAGTAAACCCATCTTCACATTTTATAATACGTATGTATTATTTGAATCTTTACATTTTTTATTTAAAATTTTTCACAGTAAACCCATCTTCACATTTACATACGTATGGTTTAAGGGTAAATTTTTTTATAAATGACTTAAATGATAAATCAAACCATTCATAACCTAAAATTTTTTACCCTTACATACGTATAAAATTTATAATCGATTATTTTTTATTATAAAATTTTTGACCGTTAGATATGTATTATAAATCAAACCATTCATAACCTAAAAATAATTTATATTTACGAAAATTATAAAAATTATATAATTGACTATTATAAATTATTATTATATATAAAAATTATATTATTTCAATGCTTCAGAGTGTGGGTTGGGTGTGTGTGGGTGTGTGCGTATGTCAGAGGGTGGGATGGTTTTGGTTTGTGTTTCAACAATAGAAATGCTATTTTAAATAGCGTTTTCTTCAGAAATTTTTTTTATGTTAAAAGCGCGATTTGGAACAGCGTTTTCTTAATTAAAATCGCGATTTCAAATAGCGATTTCACTATTCATCAACTTTTGGCCTCCTAACAGTAAAAGCGCGAATAGTAATGGCGCTTTAGCTTAGTTTTGGAATTCCGTCAGAAGTTGGCCTAGTTTTGGAAATACAAAGTAAAAAAGGCTTATATTGGGAAAAGCCTCCTACGCCCCTAGTTATTTTAATTACATCTCAAAATAGAAGTGTGGCATTGAATTTTTTATCTTTATTTTTTTGGGGTAATTAACGTTGCGTATTTAGTTATTATGTAAAAGAGTTTAATACATTTTCCAGTGTTTATTGTTTTTTTTTTTTTTTTGTCTTGAGTTCGGCTTGTGATAGTTGTTGGGGTTCATGATTTTTTACTTTTAAGTTCTAGCTATTATTATGTAAAGAATAACATGCAAGACATTGGCATAAATGAAGATTGTTCACACCTAGCCGGTCAAGCAGCCCTGTTCAATTGGATTTTGTTATTATTATTATTACACTAAAAGTAAAAACTATTTTAATAAAAATGATGGAAAAAAAAAGAAAGAGAGAGAGAGAGAGAAAAAAAAAATCATCATTTTCATATGATTTTATCTTTTTTCAGGGTGAAATAATTTTGAAAATAACTTTTTTGAGGATTTATTATTGTCAAATTAATTTCTAATTTTTCAATACAAATTTTAAAAAATAGATTCTAAAAACAAAATTAAATAGAACCAGCAACTTATCCCCTGCACAAATTATAAGAAAGGCATAGAGAATGGAAAACCCAAATTAAATGACACAATCAAGTCATGGAATGTCCCAAGTTATTGCATTTGCACTCAAGATGCAATCCAATATGTATAGCAGTTCTTCCTTAATAGAAAGACAAACTACAATTTTTTTAGTACAAAAGTAAACAACAGTTGTAAGCAAAAGTTGAGAATTTGTTCAACGGACACGGCGGACTTTCTCTTCTTGTCCTAATCCAAGAGATTTCTGTGCATTAGAGATGCCTTCAGGATCTGCCCAGAAGGAGAAAAAAAAACACCCTTCATCAAATTGGGGGAAAAGATAGAAAGAAGAAAATGTTTATATAAACCAAAGAAATTTTCCATGGTCTAATTCACATGGATCAACAGAAAAGCAGGGAATGCGACCCGGTGGACTGCCTGAATTCCATAGTTTGGCAAGCTTATTAAACTGGAAGAAAAAAAGAAAAAGAGTTCTAAACTGATGTGCCATATCTTGTGCAACACTGTTTCATCAAGCTTCAAACTATCTCCATCCAATGGCCTAAAGCACCCATTGAGAATGAGATTTTCATTCCTTGTGCACAGCTATTGGAGAGAAAGAGACCTAAATATACAGTGCCCCCCATTTGTCAAATTTTAAATTATAAACATGGAACGACACCAAATGCATCCAATCTAAACTAACTCTCCTCAATGTGGGAATAGGAGAAGGGGCTCTTGATATAATTGACTTACCAAAGAACTGTGTGAAAATACGTGTGAAGAAGCTCAAGTTGCGGGACACATTGTATGCCATCACAGGAGGAAGAGGTTTCACAATGGTGTCGATGCTGAATACCCTTTGAAGAAACTGTAGTTGCATGAAAGAATTACAATTCAAATTAAAGTATCAAAATACAGCATAAGCATGACACAAATAGACGTAATAATGGCACCAGAAACTCCGAACTATAATATAATTGGAAGCATAATACAGATTTGCAAATTTGCAATATTTGATTGAATGGGAAAAAAAGAACATTGACAAATTTTACAAGGAAAGAATATTCTAGGAATCAAGGCAATAATGTATTAAATTCACGAGTCATTGAACAAATTCCAATGAACAGATGCACACCCACATAGCAAGAATCCTAAATATATTCACAGGAGTACTGGCACCTCCAGAAATTCAGTATAAATTTATACATCTCATGTTCAGGGGCAAAAGGCAAAGAAGAAGAGAAAGGTGAAGTTATTGAGGGACACTGTTCGAAACCAATTCTACTGACCATAGAGGTCAAAATCGGATAGGCAACACCACATTGCACTGAGACATAACCTGTGACCCCTATCATTGTTACTTAAGGCTTCATTTCTTGTGGCATTTCATGTCTAAGTCTCACTCAATTTACAGGCTGTTCATCTATATGACTGAGATTTTTCCTTTTTCGTCGAATAGCTATAAGTTAGCACATTAGTACTTTAAGCATTGAGTTTGAATGATGAAGAAGAAGAAGAAGAAGAAGAAGAAGAAGCAGAAGAAGAAGAAGAAAAAGAAGAGTGGAAACAAAAGAGAACGCTAGGGTTCTCTCCTTTCTTACATGTATGTAGTTATATCTTGCAAGTAGTTTCATAGACATCTCCCACACTCGACTAGCAAAGAGTGGGATGAAAATCTTTACTACTAACTTACTAAGTCCTTTACTCAATACAAAAGCCAATTGATCTTCTCATTTCACAAATTGCATACAAATCAAGCCATGTTCAATTTCTCATTGATAAAGTAGCAATGGGCTTGGTTTTATTATGTTGAATTGGATTATCAGCAATATTGATGGCAGCCTTATTAATCACCAAACACTTCAAAGGTCCATCATCATACACTCCCAACAAGTCAATGGGTAAAATCAGAAGCCACATAAGCTTGCAAATAATATGAAATGTAACCCTATTATCTGTTTTTTGCACTAGATTTAACCACTTCTTACTACTTCACCAAGTAACCAGATTAGTAGAACAGTTCTGTTCTAGTGGTTACCAATTTATTCTCATTGCCACCCTGATAAATGAATTATTCCTTTGAATTATAAGAGTAACCATATCCAATGACTTGGTTAGTTTTGGATAAGATTCCTTATTTTAATAGAAAATAAAAGTTTCAGAGGCAATCAGGACATAGAGAAATTCAACATTCAATTCCCCAAATCAACAAAACAATAGATAAAAATTGAGCCAGCAATTCAAAGTTAAATTAAAATCAAATGAGAGAGAGAAAGACCTGGAAGTTACGCTGAAAGCTGTAGCGGAGTTCGGCGTCGATCTCGGAGAGAGAATCGTCATCGGCGGAGGAGAACTTCTTCTTGGAAGGAACATGCATGGTGGGGGTGGACCCAGGGTTGCTGGTGACCTTAATCTTCGCGTCTTTGAACTTGTCTCCATCGCTGCTCTCTTCTCCTCCTCCTCTCCATGGCGCCGATGATAACAGCTCTTTCCTCTTTGTCTTCGCCATCACTCTCAAAACCTCTCTCTCTCTCTCTCTCTCTCTCTCTACAAGATAGATAGGCTTCGCTTCGCTAGAGAAGAAGAGAGCTAACTCAAGGAGATCGACGGTCGGGACGACGTCGTTAGCTTTCCTTTTACCCAACATTTTTTTTTATTTATATATTTTAGGGAGGAAAGAAAAACCTACGAGGCCCATTGGATCAACCAAAACTGACCCAACCCAACCAATTTTTAATAAGGGTTTGTTTGGAAAATGCTATATTAGTGTTTTTTTTTTTTTTTTTACGAAAAAATTTGAAATGTGGGTTAGGATTGAAGTAATCTATGTGGATATTTGGGAAGTGGGTTTTTATGTAACTTTTTTAGTTGTAAGATATTATTGGAGAAAAAACTTTTGGTGTTTAGAAAGATAGTTGAGTTTTTTGTGGTTAGATATGATGTTTGTGGGAGAAAAAATGAAATGATTATGGGATTGGATGTGATATTTTGTTTAGATGTGTTTTTTTTTTTGCAAAATCTTTGTCTTTTAGTGGAAAAAACAAAAAAAACAAAAAAATTGAAGTAATTTATGTGGATGTTTGGGAAGTGGGTTTTTATGTAGTTTTTTTAGTTGTAAGATATTATTGGAGAAAAGATAGTTGAGTTTTTTTTTGTTAGATATGATGTTTGTGAGAGAAAAAATAAAATGATTATGGGGTTGGATGTGATATTTTGTTTAGATATGTTTTTTTTTTGCAAAAACTTTGCTTTTAGTGGAAAAAATTAAAAAAAAAAAACCAAAAAAAAAATCTTGCCAAACACGACTAAAGAAAATAGTCTTTTTAAGAATAATTATTGTGGAAGCTCCAAACTCCTAAACTAATTTTGTTAATTTTAAAAAAATTATAAAAAATATATATCTATTGGTTAGATCTTTAAGTCAAAAATCCAAAAACAAAAAAAGTTTTAATTTTTTACAAGGGCCATTTTTTGATAAGTCCTATTTATAACTGTTTTGTTCCATAAAACCCAAACTGTCCAAAAATAATGTTCATCAAAACAATTCAAATAAAAAAAAAATAAAGATACTAATTATCTATGATTTTGAATTTCAAAATTCAAAATAATATGGTACGCCACCTCCATCCCACTCTCACCTTTTCTGAAAATAATATAAATGTAAAATTTTAAAAACCCAATGAAATTAAAAATTCAATACAATTCTCTCTTTAAAATACTTAATATTTGATATTTTTTTCAGCCCGATCAACTCCTCTCCAAACGTAATGAGACAATGGTTATTCTCTCTCTTTGCCAATAATCCAAACTTATTTCAAGTTTGTTTGTTTGTATTTTTTTTTTAAAATTTATATTTTCATGTGCGCATTTTTTTTTTCTTCTTTATATGACTTTTTTTTTCGATGTATTTTTCCAACTAAATTGATAATAAATATATATATGTTAACTACCTTTGTTTTGAGAGTTTATTTGACTTCTTTCTTTTTTTTTTGGGTGGATGTTTGTGTATTTTTTATATTGTTGTCATTATTTCTTTTGATATATGTGAATTGATAATATAGTTATGAGTTTTTTTATTATTATTATTTTTATAGAATAAGGCGTCTTACATTGTTTTTTATGATTTGGCAATTTTATAAATTTCTTAAACAAAATTTTCAATTTTTTTATTTGTAAAAAATTAAAAACATTTAATTGACTTGCTCATCAACAAATAAAATTTTAAATAATGAACATTATTCCATAATTTATGGATTTAAAAAAAAAATTTAACACCCATATATGGAATAAGAAAACCTAAAATCACGCATTTTTTTATTTTTCATTTTTAACTCTTTAAAACTCTAACGGTACATTTTTATTTCCATAACATTGTCTTTTTATATTTACAAAGATAAAAAAAACTAGACCGGAGTTGTATAATGGTTAGTAGGGGTGGTGCGCATGGCAACAATAAGGGTGATGGTGTATTTTGAAAAAGTGAATATTAGAAGAACAGTAGATAGTTTGGGTAATGAATTGATTTATAAAACTAATGTGTGGTTAAGATTAAGTGTGAATTTTACTATATAAAAATTGAACATGGATCATATATTATTTTTTATATATAATTTTGGATACTTTGGTATAACTATCCAAAATTATTGTGATCACATGTTACTTATCATTTGATATATTATTGTTGTATTATCGTAATGAATTTTATTATTAATGTCTATTATCAATGCAGTGATGAGACGTCATATGAGAAATAAAAATATGTTTTGTTATTATTATTATTGATAATATATTTATCTATTCACCTTTTTACAATGTTTAAAAAATTAATTTATGTTTATTGTTAGTTTTTGTACATGAGAAGTCAAAAATAAATTTTAACCAAATTAAAGTTAGGGCAAATTACACTAACAATCCTTATAGTTTAGGACTCGTGTCACTTTGACTCTTTACTTTTTAATTGTGACACATTTAATCCTGCATTTTGAATTTTGTTCCAAATAAGGACAATTGAAAATACCATTGCTTAATTTCAATGGCAAAATCGTCATGATCACGTAATGGGTGATTGTTAAGATTTTAATGTGTAATCAATATATTTAATAGGGCAAATTACAAATACACCCCTTGAGGTTTGCTTAAAGTATAGATTGCTCCCAGTGTTTTGAAAAATTACAAATACTCCATTGTTAAAAAATTTTATTTAACAGAATTAACTAAAAAAATGAAATTCATAATTGTTCTCTTATACAATAATAAAATTACCTAAATTATTAATTGAAACATATTTCTACGTGTAGTCAACAAGACCCCCAGATCCAGCATCACTGCATTCCACGGATGCACAGTTCTGGAAAAATATATATATATATATATATATAACTGTTCACTTAATTGTTTTAAACATAAATATATAGTTTTTTTTTTTAAAACTATAGTTCAAACTTTTTAATAAGTATTCATAAAATAAGTCCATATTTCTTATTTATATTATAAAAAAATATGGATTAATTACCTAAAAGTTTTATTTACATATTTGGTAGTAGCTTAGGTTTTGTCAAAAAAAATTTGAACCAATAAGTCTCATTTATAGGTAAAAAGACATTTCGCCTTTTAACCCAAACAAGTGTATATATAAAATAGCATTGCCGTTAAACTGGGTCAACGCCAAAACTAAGAATGTTCTCAATTTCAAAACAAAGAATGATTTTGTATATAATTATTAAAACTAAGAAATTTCTCAATTTGTTTTTTCCTAATATGAACTAAGAATATTATCAGTTTTGAGAAATTTCTCAATTTTTTTATGATTAAATTGAGAATATTATAAACTGAAAATGTTCTCAATTTCAAAACAAAGAATGATTTCAATTTATAATCATTAAAACTAAAAAATTTCTAAATTTTTTTTCTAATATTAACTGAGAATATTATCAGTTTTGAGCAATTTCTCAATTTTTTTCATGATTAAAATTGATAATATTATTAATCTACTCTCTCTCTCTTACATTTACCTTCTCCTCCTCCTTCTACACTTTTCAGATCTAGAAATCTCCTAATCTAGTTTTAGATCTGGTTCGAGATGAGCATGACTAGATCACAATGGTGAGAGGCAATGATGGAGACGATAAGAGACGGCAATGGAACACGAAGAGTGAAGAAATAGTGCAACTCGTCGAGCTTTACAGCAGCTTTGTCTTTCGTTAATGACCATTGAATTTCATCGTCAATGCGGGTGGAAATGACAACGATGTTTCCGCCTTGCAAGAGACGAACAATTGTGAGCTCACTGCAAGCAAGCTCGACGATTTGTTTTTTGTCTATGAGATGGATGATTGTGCTCGGAACCCTGAGAAGACATGGTGATTGAGAACTTTCTCTGCTATGGAATTTTGAGAGAGAGAGAGTTTATTTGGTTGTTGTTGTTGTTGTTGTTGCTGGGAAGTGGGTGTAAAAGTAAGAGAGAGAATGAAGACAACAATTGTTTGGCAGCGATGGAGGAGGTCTTGGAAGGGTAAATTGGTCTATTAAAAATTAATGGGACTTGAAGGAGCAAATAATTTTATCTAGGACTTAATGGATTATAAGTTCACAAAATATAACTTGTATGTAAATGCCTCAAAAAATATTTACAAATATTTATTTATTAATTTAATAAATAAATAAGTCAAATGATTCATATAAGTTTGGAACAGAACAAGACAATTTTTAATGATTAGGTGAAGAACAAGTTGGTGTAAATCTAATGTTAAGCCCAAATTTAATATCACAAGTGAATCATAATTCATTTTTACATAAATATTATAAAAAAGGACATATTATAATTTTTAGACTTCACAAAACATGAAAAAAAATTACTATATTGACAAATGTAATTTACCACTATCATATGATAAATTACATTTACAAAACTCATAAGACGAAATGTATTTATATTTTATCATACATATAATTTTTGTGATTTGTTTTTTAATTTTTACCACTTAAATTATGACATATATTTGTTATTAAGAACTTAAATCTCACAATTAATGACATAAAAATAAAAATAAAAATTCTCTTATATGGAACTGTGATAAAAATGAATAAAATTTAATTGATTCTAAATTATTTTTGCTAAATATTGTAGACAATTTTTTTAGATTATCATTTAATTTTAAAAATTAAATTTTGATTATTTACTTATATTCGTGCATAGCACATGTAATTATACTAATATGATATAGAGGTAATGTGACTCAAATAAGATAATTATACACCAAATGATATAACGTGCCAAATAGCAAACAAACCTTAAATAGAAGATGGAAAATCAAATCACACAAAAACTGTGGAAGGAGATTTAGGCTCCTTTTGGATTTTTCTAATTAAATTTTTTTATTACAATACTTTCTTTACTTTTTATATATTTTTTATAAAAATAAATAAATAAAGTAATTAATTCTCAAACAACACGTTAGTAATTTGAAGTTCCAGTGGCTTGTAATTGTTGTGGTATTGTTGTCTAGGATGGTAAATTTTGCGAGTTTAAAGAGTAATTTGATAAATTCATTATTTTTGTTAAATCAAACCGAAGACGACCATTAACAAGAA